GACACCACCGAAATGATTGAAGAAAAAGACGAGGCCGTTCTTCATCTCCCCAGATCAGTGTTTCCCCCTGAAAATTATTTTGTACCTTCTGTCTATAACCTGTTCATGCCTTTTATGTGTGCTGTTATAGCTATCATAGTGCCTGGCACATCGTTAGAACTTAATAAACGCTTTTTGGTCAATGTTGTTTCCCCTACCTTCATCCTCAGTAGACTCGAAGCAACTTGAAGGCAGGGCTGTTTGGTTTTCTCTAAGCCTCTGTTCTCCTCATCTCTAAAATGGAAGTAATAGCACGAGGCTGTTGTAAGGCTCAAATCATGGGAATAAAATACTTTACGAATCCTAAAGTGCCATGTTTGTTGTTGACAACTCATTACAGTCACATCCTGCTCTTTGTGACCCCATCTGGGGTTTTCTTGGCAGAGGTCCTGGAGTGGTTTGCCATTTCCTCCTCCGGCTCATTTTACAGATGAGGAAACTGAGGCAAAAAAGGTTAAGTGACTTGCCCAGGGTCACACAACTAGTAAGTGTCTGAGGCCACATTTGAACTCAGGTCCTCCTGACTCCAGGCCTAGTGCTCTATCCGCTGCACTGCCTAGCTGCTCTCAAATTGCCATCTAAATGTTGACTATTATTACAATGATGATTTTGTCTTTGTAACCCCAGCACTTGCCATGTAGTAGGCGATTAATGATTATGAAATTGCGTGACTACTTTTTGGAAATGTAAAGACAGAAGAAACAAGGAAAGAAAGGGGAAGACGATGGAAAGGAAGAAGAAAGGAAAGAAGAAAGGAAGGAAGAAAAGGGAAGAAAAGAAAGGAAGAGAAAGAAAAGGAAGGAAGGAATGAAAGAAAAAGGAAGGAAGGAAGAAAGGGAAGGAAGAAAATAAAGGAAGGAAAGAAAGAAAAATGAAGGAAGAAAAGTATTAAAAAGGATTAAATACCTACTGTGTGCCAGGCACTGGCTAAATGCTTTACAAATATTACCTCATTTGATTCTCACAACAACCCTGGGAGGTAGGTGCTGATATGATCCCGGTTTTACAGATGAAGAAACTGAGACTCAGGGTGATTCAGTGCCTTGCCTGGAGTCACACAGCTGGTGAGTGTAGGAGGCCTGATTTGACCCCAGACTTGCCTTGAGATGAGCTTTCTTTTACATTTCATGTATCTTGCATGTACAGAGTTGGGTGTGTGGGATCTCCCTTATTAGAGTGTAGGCTCCTTGTGGGCAGGGACTCTGTTTTTCCTTTCTCTGTAGCCCCCACGCTCAGCACAGTGCCTGGTGGCAATAAAAGTGCTTAGTCAGTGTTTGTTGACTGACCCCCAAACCCAGCCCTGCCGCTGGTCTGCCGTGCTAGGCTGTGACCGCCCGTCCTCTCTGTCTCCTTGTCCCTTCTCCATCTGTCTTTTTCACAGGCTCCTTAGAAAACTTGTTCTTCTGGCTCTGAAGCCATGGCCTCCTCCCACAGGGGAATCACTCCCCCGACTTCTCCCACATCCTGTCCCTCTTTCCCTCAGAGGGAACAATGAGGGTTCATTGTTGGCAGGGATGAAATCTGCAGACAGAGTTAGGATTAGCCAAGTATGCGGTTTCCCCTCCCTGTGGCCCTCCCCATCCCGACTCCCACCAGATCCTTGTAAATGTAGCTCTTTGTGCAACATTTTTGTGTCAGAATGTTTCTGGGCTTGTCGCTCAATGTTTTCTGAGATGCACAGTGTGCAGGACTCTGCTGTCCCATGTGCCTAAGGAGTGAGGACGATCCCCTTTCCATCATTCTGATAGCGACTGCCAACCCTAGGAATGGTTATGGTGAGGGGAAAAATTGGAGATGAGGGGAAAATGGATGGCCAGCACCCCAAAGGTGGGTAAGTGTGTAAAGTAACCTGGCGTAAGATTTGGGGGGCCCTTGAACATGGATGGGGAAAAATTACAGATTTATTTCAATATAATTACTTTCCTTTGTAATCCTATGTGTTTTATTCTTTGTATTTAAAAATATCATTCTGAGAAGGGGTCCAGAGGCTTCCCCAGACTGCCAAAAGGGGTCTGATCTAAAGAGGCTGGGCCTAAAGTCAGGAAGACTGGAGTTCAAATCCTGCCTCAGACACTTACCAGCTGTGTGACCCTGGGCAAGTCACTTAACCTTTGTCTGCCTCAGTTTTCTCACCTGTAAAATGGGCATAATAATAGCACCTACTTCCCGGGGTTGTTGTGAGGATCTAATAGAAGAGCTATTTGTGCATGTCCCTTGCATGTAGTAGGCAGTATATAAATGCTAGTTATTATTATAAGTGTCTGCAGCAGCATGTATTAAGCACCTCCTGTATGCTTAATGCTAATCTAGGGGCTGGGGATAAAAAGACCAAAAAAAAAAATTCCCAGCCTTTAAGGAGCTTATTTTCTTCTGGTGAAACAAAACCTGTACACAGAGGGAAAAAAAAGTGTATATACAAAGGAATGAACCAAGATGGTGGGAGTGTGAAACAGGATTTGGATTCAGAGGACCTGGGTTTGAATCTCAGCTCTGGAATGCACCACCTGTGTGACCTTGGGTAAGGCCCTTAATCTCTCTGGGCCTCAGTTTCCTCATCTGTCAAATGTACTAGGAGACCTCCATGGTCCCAACCAGTTCTAGACCTATAGTCTATGACCCTAAGTTTTTTATCTTACCCAGACCTCAGTTTCCTCATCTGTAAAATGAAGGGATTTTATAAATGTAAGATGTAAAAAGAGATGTTAAATGAAGGACTAGATGATGTCAGAGGTCTCTGGTTAGCTCTGAACCTGTGATCTTATTAGTCAAGTCAACCAATGTGTATTAAGTGCCTACTGTGTGCCAGGCACTGTGGTGAGAGGTAGAGATGTCAAAAAATGGCAAAAACCAGTCCCCACTGGCAAGAAGCTCACAGTCTGAATTTTATTATACAAAGTAATTTCAAGAGGGAGAGATCACTTAGGCCCGGGGGAAGAAAGGGCTTGTGTAGGAGGTGGTATCTAGAATGCTAAGCATTCTGAGAGAGGGAGGGGGAGAGAGAGAGAGGGAGAAAGGGAGAGACAGGGAGGGAGAGAGAGACAGGGAGGGATGGAGAGAGAAACAGGAAGGGAAGGAGGGAGAGAGAGACAGGGAAGGAGGGAGAGAGAGACAGGAAGGGAGGGAAAGGGAAGAGAGGAGAGTGCTTGTTTGGAGCTGCCAGGGCTTGAGCTATGCTGACATACCCTTCCAGAATGAATGGATGAAAGAGCATTGATTAGGTACCTACGATAATAATAGCAACAACAATAATAATATTATCACATCATGTGTCCAGCACACTGTGCTTAGCCTTCAGGCTATGAATTCGAGCAGTGTGTATTCTTAAAGGGGAAGAAAATGCCAATGGGGAGCAAGAGTTGGAAAGTGGGCTGGGAGGGCCGTGGGCAGGAGATGGGCAGCGTGACTTGGGGGTGGCCAGGCAGTTGCATGGTGGACCCAAAGCTGGGTAAGATGAGATGGATGCTCACCAGTCAGAACTCAAGGGCCTAGAGCCAGTGGTTCAAGTTTGGACTGAAGGAGTTTGGGGTACAGGGTCATCCCCATTGCCAATCTAGCTCTAGCATTTGGGGATGAGGAGAGGTCAGTGGGTAGAAGGAGGGCAACCAGTCATTGGAGGCAGTGCAGTGCAGTGGGTAGAGTGCTGGTCTTGGAGTCAGGAGGCCTTGGGTTGGAGTCCTGCCTCAGACATTGATCAGCTGTGTTACTCCGGGCAAGTCACCCAACTTCTCTGAGCCTCAGTTTCCTCACCTAGAAATTTAGGAGTTTAGACTTAGAAAGGTGACCCGTAGGGTTCCTTCCACCTTTAGATCAAGGATCCAATGATTTCCATCACTTATCTACTTCTTGGGCCTTTGCTGGACTTGGAATCAGTGAACCTCTGGACAGGTCCTTGCTTATAGCACTCAGACTCTCTGGGCCTCAGTTGAATGATTTGTGGGGGGGTAAAAAGGGTTGTCCTAAATGGCCTCTGAAGACCCTTTTCAAATTCACTTTCCCCAAACTGAGCTAAATGAAATAAATAAAATACTTTAAAAAAGAAAATATTTAAAATTTAAAAGTAAAATATTTTAAATTTAAGATAAATACTTAAAATTCAAAATAAAATATTTAAAATTCAAAATAAATATTTAAAATTTTGAAAATAAAATATTTAAAATTTAAAATAAGTAAAAAAGTTGTTTTAAAAAGAAGAAAGCAAAGTGAGCTTATTATCTTCCCCCACCCACCTACCCAACCCTCCTTTCTTTCTGCTTTCCTGTTACTGGGTTTACTGGTTATTATTGGTTTTTGTTTTGTTTTGTTTTGTTTTGTTTTTTTAAGGAACTATTACTGGTTCCTATTACTTTCCTATTTCCACTAGCCTCCCAGGGACCCAGGCTCAAAAACTCAGTGTCATCCTGGACTCTTCATTGGACTCACCTCGCCTCTCCAATATGGCATCCAGTGTTGTCATTTCCACATTTACAACATCTCTCCTGTGTGCCCCCCCTTCTCATCACTCAGACAGCCCTTACCCTTGTGCAGGCCTTCATCCCCTCACACCTGAACTCTTAAAATAACCCCTTAGTTGATCTCCCTGCCTCAAATCTCTCCCCACCCCAATCCAGGTGACCTTCCTAAGGATAGGTGTGGCCAGGTCTCTCTCTTACTTAATAGGAGGCTTCCTGTTCCTTCCAGCATCAAGTCAAAATTCCAGTAGGTATTTAAGGTTTTTGTGCATGTATTTGGCATGCACCTAGTTATATACACGTTGTCTCTGTCATTAGAATGTAAGCTTCTTGAGGGCAGGCGTGGGTCTTGCCTTTCTTTGTATCTCCAGCATTTAGCATGGGGCTGGGCACATAGTCTTTGCTTAATGAATGCTTGTTGACTGGCTGAGTGACCTGAAGCCCCAAGTCAATGGTGCCAGCTTGCCTCAGTCCCTCACTCATGGGATCATTCCTATTTGTTTTCCTCCAAAGCTGGGGCATCCCACTGGCAATCACCGCAGCTGCTGTTGCTCTGAAGAAAATTGGCTATGATGCCTCTGACGTGTCCGTCGGCTGGTGCTGGGTCAACATTGAAGTGGAAGACCGGTTGCTGTGGATGCTGCTGGCAGGGAAGGTCTGGGAGATGCTGGCGTACCTGGTGCTCCCCGTGCTATACATTCTCATCAGGAAGCACATCAGCAGGGCGGTAGGTCCCCAGCCCGGTCACTGAGTGTCCCTGACCAGGGGGATGGTGGCTACCCTAGGAGCACGTACATCCACCTGGGCTCTCTAGGGCTTGATGCGGCTGCTGTGGAAGGTGGCCCTCTGGGGTGGGGTGTGGGGCTGTGGTTTAACAGGGTGAAGGGAATGCCAAGGGTGTGCGTGCTGAGGGGGTGGGAGGGTTGTGCAGTTAAGTCAGTGGTCAGCAGAATCCCATTGGGATGGCTTGGAAAGGCAGGTGAAATCAAGGAACAGACCAGCATTTATTAAGCACTTACTGGTTTTTGTAGAGTTTTTTAATTTTT